TATCTCAATCTATATTTTTAATTAAATTGACCTTTTTTTTCAACCTCAAATATTAAACATGTTTTAAATTAAGTATTGTTGTTTTAAATTGCATAAAAAAAAAAAAAAACAATATATATAAGCTTGTTTAAAATTTAAAAAAACGTGTTTTAAGCTATAAAAATATGTTTTTTTAAAACAACAAGTTTTTCTCGACTCTGCTGCGCCCACATAAATACACATTTTTTGCTCGTCACTTAGCTTCTTACCACGATTTGTAGTTGATATTTGATTCTAGTCATCAACGGTATGGTTTCGAAATACAACTTACATACGTACACGCACATACACACCCATACACAGATAAAGAGAGCGTTATTGGATCTAAAACATTAGAGCAATGTTTACAGAGTTGTTTAACTTATTGGAAAACATAACTCATTATTATTGTAATTAATCCAATCAAATATATGTATATTTTGTATGGATTTGTATTGTACTAAATATAGATCATATTATCTTAGAGTATATAACGTGAAAACTAATCCCAAGCATAATCAATAATTAGTTAACCAGCTGTCAATAAAAAAATTAAATAATCATACTGTAGTGTTTTAATGATATTAAATAAAAATTATATATTTGAAGGTTATACATATTAAATATTATATGCACGACGAAAATAACAATAAAAACATTCAAATTAACTCAAACAGACAAATATTAACCAGAGAGTTTTTTAGATATTCTTCCCGAAATTCTTCACTCAATCATTAACATTCGTCGATAAGAAGAATGCGTCGATAATAATCGTACATAAAATCGGACGATAAAAAATAGGATCTCGTAACGAAGACATCGACCGTTCGATTGAAATGTTTATACGACCTACTGTAGACTAGATGTTCGATTTTTATTTACATAAATACTAAGTGATACTTTATTATGCTGCTTCAGAATATGCAAATAAAAATATATTTCGACATTAAGAGAAGTTATAATAATAAAATAAAAAAAAAAAGCAAAAAACTATGTTGATTCAAAATTAAATCGTTTTCGAAAATATAAGCTCACCACGAGAATGACTATTTTTTTTTATTTTTTTTTTTTTGATAAAAAAAGTTTCCTTGTATAGAATGTATGCTTAATGGGTTTGCGCATGTGGTTTTATTGTCTTATATTGTCTCCATCTCCCATCGACTACAGCTGATGATTACTGTGCTATGACGCACATCGTCCATGACGTATTGTACGTTTTACACACATATATGGATAACTTGTAAGAAACTGAACAATTTTTGTATCAGTTGATGACGTATTTTCTTTCGCATCATCTCTATACCAAATGATCCATTTAACGTAATACATTTTCTATTAAAAAAAAACTATTTATAACTAAGAAAATATTTTTTAACCGTATAATTTCCAATTTTTAAAAAGTAAAATTACTATTTTTCTTATCTAACCTACTAGAGTGATTCGAATATTTAGATACGCAAAAATAATTGTTTTAAAAGCGTAGGTTAGGTAAAATGTTTGTTGTCATTCGATAAAAATAATAATAATACAAATTTTTCTGAAAATGTTGTTTTATAATAAATTAAAACGATAATATATAAAATATAATTTTCTCAAAAACGTTAGTCTTTTTTTTTTTTTTTTTTTTTTTTTTTTTAATAATGGATGTTTTATTATTTACCTCATAAGTCTTCTGGCGTCATAATATTACACGTATTCACTAACTATACATTTTTATCATTAAATATCATATACGTTTCACCTTATCCTCTGTATCTGATGTTGTCGTTCGCCCTTACACACAGACTTCCGGACGTGATGTTTTTCATTAATATAAATGCCGTTATATTTATTATATGTAATAATAATATTACAATTAGACAAATGGATGGACCGGATAACTGGAAAACCGGATAACCTTAATCATTGCCAAGGTCTATTTCCGGAGAGTGACGATAAGTTTTTTTAAAGCTCAGCACAACTCAGCATAACTGTTTAGTAATGATATGAAAAACAAATTGCATCATATAATCTTTATACTCATCGCAACACAATTAGTAGAATTTTTGATATAAACACATTATAATGTTATATTATTTTGGCTTGATATGCAAAGATTGTACACTTTGGAGCATCCTTTTCAATATTAATTCAAAACTTCTTAAACGAGACAATGGTTCAATAGATTATAAAAATATCGTTTGCTGACCATCTACCGACATTATTAATGATATTGTTATTTTATAACAGACTTCTGCTCTTCTTTCGAAATAAAGGTGATTATCTGCTTATTTTATTAACCAAAAAGTTATTACAGCAAATAATTGATCCAAAACTTGGTCCATTACAACAATATTATGAATTTAATGATAATCTCGAAACAAATGTGAACAATAGAGTTAAGAGAACCGACGATGTTTATAAGAACGCAAACAAAAAACAAACCAACCTACATAATTATTTTTTCTCAAGTGCAAATTAAGATGTTGTGACAATATTATAAAAAAAAGATGATGATTTTTTTTTTATTCGACCGTTACTTATTATATTTTTAAATTTTTAAATACTAATTTATACAAAAATTTTTATTTTATTTTATTTTTTTATTAAACATAATTACATCAGTTTCTAGACCATTAGTTATTAGTTGACATTTTATTTACATTTAAATTGAAGTTGATATAAATTTACGTTTATATTAGGCTATATAATTTAATTTTCTTTAAGAAATTAATAATGTTAGTATTAGATTGGAGGTTCGGGTTGTAGAGCTTCCTCTTAGTAGATAAGGTATGTAGTTATCGGCTCTTGAGTCTTCAAACTTTAAGTATTCAATTATTATGTGTTTGACTGTGTTCTTTGATTCACATAATTTATATATGGGGAGATTGTATCTGGCCATGAGGTTGTTGTATGTTATAAATGTATACCCTATTCGTAGGTGGTTTAAAATGAATAAACTAATATAACAGTTGTTTGTATACTAATAATTATGTGAAATAAAATTAATATCATCAAAATAAGACACAAAAAAAATATTTGTTTAAAACATTAATGTTTATTTTTAAATTTAAATTTCGTTATTAAAAATTAATGTTATACAATAATATTTATCATATTATTTTTAATTTATGTAAAAAAATTATAATAATATATTGAAATTATAATATAAACCGAACGAGTTTATCTTTTAATACTTTTTTATCGATGATTTATTTTAAAAATAGATCATGATAATTTAATTGTATGTGACAGTTTAAGTATTGATTCAGATAGCTCATGAAATACTTAGTTAATTTATGAAATAGCTAAAACGTATAGGTAATGTGTATAATTTTTATTTTAACTAGGTAGTTATTTTATACATTATCAGGCATTACTTCGTTAATGTGTCATATTGTACAAAATATGATCACCACCCGAGCGACGTCTTATTTATCGTTTCGGTTTAATCTATTCTCGTTAGATATAAATTAACATTCAGCTCCAACTGGCAATGTTCATATATACGTGTTTTGTGTTATTTTAAAATTATCGTTTAGTTATTTTTTATAGTCATACGTGTTCACTTTTGGTGCGTCTGACTTCACACTATTATTTTAAATGATAATATAATTCATAATGAATTTGAATGAATTAGATTTAATGCAAAATAAGTTTTATATTAGTCTTAAAAATCGTTCATTAAAACCGAATTGTGCCAAGTGCTAAAAACTCAATACTTTAACTGTAAAATATATTAAATCATAGTATTCAACTATTTTTGATTGAGAACACTAAAAAAATAGATCATAAATATGTCAAAAAGTATATGATAAATAATTTTTTTCATTTAATAAAAAAAAAAATAAACATTTAAATCACTTTTAAATTAATAATATTTTACTATCATTTTTTAATGAACGACAATATATATTTTTTTTTTTTTTTTACGAATAATGTTAAATAATATTTATCTATCGTTTTTTGAGGTATTTTATTTCGTGGGAATTAAATACGATTTTTCAAAAATTATATGGAAATAGGCATTTATAAGTTTTAAATATAACAGTTTTGATCTTGTGAATTATATTTTGTTAACTTCACAGTATTTAACTGCATAATAATGTATTTACTTTGAACTAATAATTACAAAAAATTACGTAGAAAACAATAAATTATCAAATTAAAATTTATTTATCATTATTGTAAATCCTAAAAGATAATGAATGGTAATTTTTGCATGATTATGACATATTACTCATAAAATCATATCTAAATTCAAGTAATGCCTCGCACCTACATTGATCGATCATTACATATTGTATAGTATATTAAATAAATATATTATTTTGTGTTTTAACTACTGTGAATAAAATAAAAAGTCAAAATATAAAATATAAAGTTAAATTTATTAAAATATTATATTTCTTGAGATCAATTTATATAACAAAGATTTTTCCGAGTTTAAATAATTATTCGAATACAATCTTTGCAACACGTTTTAAAACCTTTTATAACCTCCAAAAATACAATGTTACTATTATATGCATTGTTAATAATTTTCATATTTTATTCAATTTTCCCGATAAGAAAAAGTTCTCAATAACTAATAATTAATGTTTAAAGCCCTTTCTTTGTGTTGAATTGAAATGTATTAAATTTAAATAGAATAGAATAAGAACACAACGATAGACAGTAAGATAGTAACTTGTAAAGTAAAATAAAAGTCATATCGGAAAAAGTTGATGCAAACTTAATAATTAATATTAAACATGATAACTTATAAGATAGTGGTCTTAGAGTCAACGAAATATTTAATATCGATACAATAATATGGAAATTTAAATTAAAAAAAAAAAATCAATGACTTAGGTGATTTTAAAATAATATTCGGTAAATTTTTAAGAGTCTGTCGGTGTGGCGTGGCATTACAGTTGCAGTTTTTGTGACTGCAACTGAGTAAAATTCAAAAAACAAGTCAAGAAAATGAATTTATATGTATTTTTTTTTTTTTTTTTTAGCTTACCAATGGTTAGCGTAACGGTGTTGTGTGCCGCCTTATCGTCGATGATCGTATGGTCTTCGGTGATGGGTTACGATATGTTAGACTGTAACCGACAACTGTCAACTTTCCGAGTGTCCAATACCGACGTGAACGGAAGGACGTGTTCCGATGAGATAAACGTGATGTCATGCTGGGGAAGATGTGACTCAAATGAGGTATACCGTACTTTTTTTTTTTATGATAATCATTTAATGTACGATATGTGTGTTATCTCATACGTCGTAATGATATTATTACCAACGAATATAATAGGATTATAAATCAAAATGTTGTAATTACGAAATTCAGAAAATAATTTATCAATATTTTAGAGGATATTTCATTTTCAATGATTTTTACATGATTTTAAACTTGACAGCAGAAACGTGTTCACATTTAAAAATGTAACATATTATAATATGTATATTAAAATTAAACGAGTCAAAAATGATAAAATACTTTCATAATGTATTGATATAATATAAATCGCGTGTAAGCAAATTGGTATAATAAAAATAGTTTTAAAAAAATGCATTGATTTATAAATAGCTTATATTCGCGATAACGTAAAATATGATGACGCGAAGTGATTATATAAAAATACACACGAATGAATAATTTATAGTTTTTGACATAACTGTTGATTAATTGAATACCTATAATTATTATTGCAAGCCGTGTGCAATATTCACATTTTTTAATTATTACTTTGAGCTTAAGACATAATATTAAATTATTACACAAATGGTTGTATCTAATCTTTTTTTAAAATTCCATTTGGTTTTGCTTCGTTGTCATACGTTTGTGCAGCGAATCTCATAGCTCGTGAATATACATTATCGTTCTCTGTTTGCACAACCTATGTTACTAGTTATTAATCAAGATGTCTTTTTAGACCAAGTTAAATTAAATTGCAATGCAATTTTCAATTTAAAAGATCATAGTACTAAATACGAAATATATTTTACAAGTTGAAAAGAAAGGCAAGCCATCAAACACAATTTTAATTCTATTTGATTTATCTAAAATTAAATCTTATATTTTCGTTTCTAATTTGAAAATAATCGTAAATATCTAGCATATACTAAAAAATTAGAACACACCCAATATTATATTATATTATACAAGTATGCAATTCAAATTTATACATAATTTTTCAAAACTATTTACTTCTTGTTTTTGTTTTTATGTTTATTTTTAGAACCGTTTAATATTTTGATTTCAGATATGCTTTTCATAAAATAATCAGTGAAAATATATATTATTTATCTATGTAAGATTATATTATAAAATTTATATATACTGGTACTTATATTCGGTCGTATACGTTCTTAGCTTTTTCTTAGCAATTCTCTAATAACGATGATATGAGACACTAGCTGCTGTCATAACAGGTGTCATAACCACCTTGGCCACAGACTGTACTAACCCACTTGTCACTCCTTATATAATCAACTAACTTTATAGAGACATACTCGTACGGTAGAACCACAGGTATAATTCAACCGTTATATGTTTTATATTATAACATTGATTAATATAAACGTCTATCGGCGACCATAGACAAAGCATAATCTTTATCGGTCTGGATACCAAATTACCAATTATAATATTACGTAGTATAGTCACGTCGTAGGACGTATTTGAACTTAGAGCTCTTCAAAGAGATAGGTTCTCCAGAATTTTAGTATAATATGTATTATATTATATAAACTGCCTTTAAACTCAATACAATATGAACACAGAAGTGCCTCATTCTCTAGATCTAGAAACCCTGTACAAACTCTTACATGACCTGCATTTACAAAGGAATTCCACTATTGAAGATTTCGGTGCTTAATACGCATGTACTCTATTTTTTAGCCATCACATTGGTATTATTAAATACTGGTAGAGTTTTAACATTTTTTAGGTTTTATTAAACGAAATACCATGTTTTTTACTTCGGATAACCGTTTTTTTGACCTTTGTACATTACTCTTGTTCGATCAATTCTTGAGTATGGATTTATCACTTGCTGCCTTCACCTCGTTAAGATCTATCGATTGCGTTTCGAACGTGTTCATTATACATTTTTTCATACACTGCTTATAGACTTAAATTAACCATTATCTACATAAATAATATCTCTTTTTGAATATACGAAAATTTACTGCCGAGGGTGCAACTGAAAATGTTTTGTCACAAAACCAATTATCACACTCATTCAAATAATTCAAATTTTGTTGAGTTGCAAATATTATAGTACCTAATATAAAGCTACTGCAGCTTCCTTATTTTGACGTTCATGCTGAATTTCCCTTTTCAATCTATTAATACTCGACATTTTTGCAGACACTGCATTTGTTGACTAATTTAGTTTAATTTTAATAATAAATATTATTTTTTTTCATTTTTATTTAAATAAAATATGAAATGCCCGCATAATTTAATTTCTTAAAACTAAATGTGAGCTGAGATTCGTGGTGCATTTTCTTTAAAGTTGAAATAACTTTTTCCACTTCGGTTTTGCAACATTTTAAACGCGATTGTTATGTTCAGTACATTTTATGATTTTGTCATCTGCCACTACGTGTAACCAATTCTAACAATGATTTTTTTTGTACTCTGAACATTTTCAATATATTTTGTTTTTGTGTTCTCATTCTTTTATGTGTAAAAAAACATTCTTAACTCAGCATACTTTTATTTTTCTTTCACCTAATGCGTATTCTAAAATCATTTTCAATCTATAACCAAAAATAAAATGTACAATACTTCAGCTGCACGAAATTATTAGTATACTGATTGACAATGGTACAAATACTGTTCTATTTTTGAATCGTTTCATAGTTATCTATATGGGCTGATAACATAATATCTATACAACAATACAAGTATAACATTAGATTTGATACTTGGACGTTAACGATCAAATAATTTACCGATATAGATATTAATTTTACGAACACTTTTCATGTGGTTATTTATCATTGCGATCAATAGACAGTACATCCTCTTTTTATTCCTCTTGTTGTAATTATATTGATTACCAGTTCATTTGTGTTCTTCTTAATATTTCAATTAAACGAATTTAGACTTATCTTTTATATCCCATTTAAATTAAATTTATGTGACGTTAGAAAACAAAATATTTTTATATTTCTTCACAGTTAACCTTTTGCAGGCATAATTATCACATGCTCAAAATAATGCGTAGGTCAACTACTTAAGTTTTACTTTAATTTAATTTAATTATTGTATGTTGTCTATTGCTATTCTCTATATTATAATAAAACAATTTAAATTTTGTAAATGTATTCAAAGAATTTAGTAAAAATTAAATTTTAATCTAATATTTTCATTTTTCAACTACTGTATGCTACATGAAATCCACTTTTTCAAATACCATAACGATATAATAATATTAATTATAACATTGTAATAAATTCTTTCTATCTCAGCAGATAACACTTTCACCGTATGCTTTTTAGTAACCACATCGAATATATTAAAGTTAATTAATAACACTCCGTTTGGTGGTCTACTATAATGAGTAGTGTCTACGTAATATGTCTATTAGTATATTAAAAGTACAGCGCCTTGCATAAATAATCTTCACATCTCAAATACACTAATTATCAATTTTCCTAATGTATTTTTGTTATTTATTTTTTTTTTTTTTATGAACATATAATATAGCCTGTGTTATTACTTATTACCATATATTTGAATCAAGGAAATCTATATAGATATATTCAAATATTATATTTTTATGATATATGAATGACTATAATACGCCTATATTCATTTAAATATAAGTCAAATCAACAATATTTTATGAAATCATTTGATCTTGTTAAAAAAAATTATCAATAGATTTTTCGATAAATTATTAATTAATTTTATTACCTATATTGATTTTGAGGAGAAAAATCCATTTGACTATTCCATTTTAATAGTGGTAAATACAATTTATTTTTTACTTTTAAAAATTATTATGAAACCTTTAAAAATCTATAGGATTAGGTACTTAAATTACTAATCTACATTAAATCTAAAAATTAAATCACTTCTAGTTATGAAAAAAAAGCAAAAATTAGACCTTGACCTCAAGTATTGACTCCCTCCCAAAAGTTTAGTGATAGGATCGAGCAGAGACAGAACCTTCCAGTTCAAACATATTATAAGTTTCTATGAACTTTTATATAATTTCAATAAATAGATATATGTATCATTTTAAACAAAGTAGGTATACATAATGCATATGAGAGTATTACTTTTTGAAGTATATAATATTGAATTTTTATAAAACCATACATAAAAATATTATGATTTTCATAATATATTTTTCAAGTTTATGAATACCGAATTTTTTTTTCTATTTAATAGAATAATAATGTAATTTTTTAGTTTTATTACAGAAAAATACATAATTTAATTCTTTAAATGAGATACGTATTATGTTTATGTTTATTGTACAAAACGGATTTAACAGAGAACGAAGCGACTATATTAAAAAATAAATAGTTACCCGTTACTCTTGGATTCATTCTAAATCATCTATTTGATGATAAAGAATAGTATTAGAAACAATAGAGATAACACTATCAATTTATTATGAATATTTTTTTTTTAATTTATGACAGCAATCAATTTTTCATATTTTTTATATTTAATAAATAATTGTTTAAACTTTAAAGTATTCGTCTCGATCCAGATGTATGGTTGTATTACATCTAAAAGCAAAGACAAATTTTCGTATTCAATTAATTGGGTAGATAACAAGATTTCTAACCTTTCTTTGTAATCACTGGCACAAAAATAAGAAATGGTTTTTAATAATTTTTTTATTCATGCCTAGAAAAATAATTTAAAAAGCCGATAAAATTCTTATACTAATTAATTTGTCAAATTTGATTTCTTACTTATTCATTTCAAATGTATTTTTGAGAAACACTTCAAGGGGTTCTAGTTTTCATAGACTTGAAATACTTAAAACTATATATTTCTTGTTTTGATAAGAACTCAAAATAAATATTATCAATAAAAAAAGTCAACTCAAAATAACTATTATACTGAGTTAACTTTCATCATTTGCGTTATTGTTTATAGGTTTATGGATTAAAATTTATAAAATATACTCGTGTCATACGTTGTCACATATATTATGACTACAATACATTTTATATTCCAATATATTATTAAATACACGGAAAAATAAAAATAGCATGTCTGTGCGTGTTGTGTGTGCTGAATTATCCTGTGTGTAATGATATTCATAAAATACAATTGAGACATTTCGAAAATGACCAAATATTTTCAGATAGATTAAATAAAATACTAATTGTTTGTTTTAATTTATTTGTAATAGCATACATCATGATTATCGGTTTCCGTTTTATTCTACAGGTGTCAGACTGGAGGTTTCCATATAAACGTTCGCATCATCCGGTGTGCATACATGCCGGTCAGGTGCTTACCGAGTTTGTGCTGAGGGACTGTGACAAAGGCGTTCTACCCGGTACAGAACTATACGTTTTTCCGCAGGCTACGGCATGCAAGTGTCACACGTGCAAATCTTCGGAGGCGTCTTGCGAGGGGTACCGGTATAGAGATTTTAAGTTCATTTCCACTGATGAAGTTTGAGGAAATGTATGATTTGAAGAAAAAAAATGCGATGGAATTACGACGACAGTAAACTGAATACAACATCATAAATATATATATATACATTTATGTATATTATTATTATTATTATTGTTATTATTAATTCACACTTTCATTTTTATTTTCCTTTATTCTTCGTTTATATTATCTACTCGTCTATTATAACGTTGTTATTATCATCACATACTCGACATAACACACTGACATTATTATCTTGTACACTATTATAATATATATCAAATAAATTGTATCTTATTGTAATCCGAAACTTGAAAACTAAACTAATTATAATCTACGTGCCCTTGTCTGTCAATAAAATATTTAATGTATGCTTCTATAATATCATAATATGGTATTAAAATAATAATGATAATAATTTTATGTTAATATATATATATTTCCTCGGTTTACGTGTGTGAGACACGAATATCAATAAAAAAATGCAGATTAATTTAAACGAATATATAGCGTTAGTTTATTTATCCTTCCTGCTATTTCACAATATGTCTTAGTCCGATCACAAAAAAGGCATCGTCGAGCATGAAACAACCATATTTGAACACAGATCGCCGAGATAAAAGTTCGAGTACATTCCAAAGGCTTTGACTGCACCACGCAGATAATACAGAGTGATTATTTTGTCACTAATCAGACTTTTTTCTCGGTAATTATATGTGTTTTTGAGTATTTTAAGCTGAAATTTACAAGGTAATACGAAGAATCATGCCAGATACTGTACTATATTGGTTACCTAATATTTCACCCATAAGCTCATCCAAACTTTGAATGAATATAACCAGAACTAGAATTATAACCTACAAGATTAAAAACAATTAATTTAAAATTATTTACATAAGAATTAAAGATAAAAATATAAATATTATAATTAAGAATGATTATATATTTAATTGTTGTGTATAATTAACAATGTTTATAAATTTTAAATATAAAACAAAAACAAAATAATTTTTTTCAATTTTTATGAAACAGTAAAAAAGCTTTGTTTTTAATTAAAAAAGTAATAAAATAAGAATACAATTTTAAATTTAAAAATTTCATGATGTACATTATTAAATTTTTGCTTAAAAAATATTATCAATTTTAAAAATTGTAGTAAAATAATAGAAGTTCCCATAAAATTCAAGCTTTAATTAAAATTAATCAATTTGATTTTAGTGCATTATTATTCCCTTTTATTATAATAAATAAAATTATATAATTTATATAATAAATTCAAATTATTATTTGTATTTTATTAAATAATATATTAAATTGATTAACTAGCCGGTTAAAGACGTAATATGTTTTTACTTTAACAAAAAAAAAAAAAAAAAAGAGAGCAAGTAGTTAAGAGTTTTAAGCCCGCAAGCATTATTTCGATAAAAAAAAAATATATATATTTACGCAATTTATGACTACTTTATAAGAAAATAAAGTCATCGAATAAAAAATAAAACACAGTTTCTTCACCGGTTCATCTGAATGATGTATATAATAATTTCACAAAAACTTTCAGAAAATATATTGTTTTTTTTATCTAACCAGCCAATAAATATTATTATGTAATTATATATTCTACTTGTATCATATACTCTCTAGTCAGTCATTATCATTACGATAATAGCCGTAATTGTTATTCAGCGCCAGCGCGTCACTGCGATGAATAGCTTATAATAATAATTAATAGTTATTTAACCGTTACACATTTTATAATTATTGAAAAATATAGATACTGCAGGAACGACACGACAATTGCATCATTTACCACTATTTAATAATATAGTTAATTTTAGTCGCTACTTATGTCATGATTAATAGATATGTTGGGGGATTGGGGGGGGGGGGGAATTTTAATAGAAAGACAGTAAAAAAAACCATAGACACATTACCATAATAATTAAACAGTGAAAATATTAAATTTTTTAGTATAAAATCGATTTTAATTCGCATATATTATTTATAAATTAATAACCACTAATAACAGTTGTTATATACTCGTATTATATTAAATACATTTCTAATTATAATTGTTACATAAAATATGTGATTAATTATTAACCGAAATGAGTTCACCCACCTATTTTAATAAGGTATAAAATTACTATAAAATAAAATATCTTTAGGAATATAGACTCATAGATCGTGTTCTTTTAAAATAATTTTTCGTATTGCAATGATTTAGCTTTAAATTTAAATTTAAAACATATTGCATTACGGTGAATTAATCAATGACGAAATACACTCTACTATAATACAGCAAAACAATTTTTTGTATTTTTTCTTTCACCGATTATTTTGAAAAGTTTTATGTAATTTTTACGTACAACTTGAAAAAGTTATCAAAAAAAAAAAAAAAAAAAAAAATCTACTTATAAAAAATAAAACATTAGATATTTAAAACCAACACAGTTATTGTTTAAAATCTAATATAATTTATTAATTTTTTATGAATGCTATCCACGATCAAAATTTGAGCTGAATATTTTTTTATGTGTTAATATTTTTTTATAATGAATAATTTTTTAAGTGAAGATTCGATCAAAAACAAAACGCTATCGATTGAATAAAAACTATAGACAGTAATTTCTTTTATCGTTCACCGAAATAACGATACAATAACGTATATAATGTGATTATTTTTATAAACATCAGTATTTATTATTACAATCTGGTTTAAAATGGACGATCTCGGAGATCATATTCACGTGATACTTCATGAGAATTTAACATAAGTTTGTATGTTATTTCAGTTCATCTACGATATGAATAATGAATTTTTCATCATACTTTCGACTGGATCTGCTGTAATTTTTGGTTTGCCTAACAGTTCAAATTTAATATTATTCCTAAATTTAGTTACACGCACTATACAATTTACCTTACTTATATTGAAAAACACTTTTTGAGATTTATGTCTAATAACAAAAAATTTTCGTGAGTATTTAATAATAATGAATAATTAAGTGTAAGACTTGAAGCTGAATAATTATATACTTGGTGTGACAAAATCATTGTAAGCGGCCAATCGTTTATTTCATCAAATGATATGATATAAAAAAAACTTTTTCAGTCCAATAATTTATTTAAATTAATAATAAAATAAGTATAAAATATTTTATTTTGGAATTAAGAACTACTAAAAACATTATATGATGTATTTTTTAGTTTAAAATTAATTGAAAAACGTAAAAGAAATAAATGTAAAGATTTTCATAGCAGCTATTAAAACCGTATTAAATATAAAATGTATAACATTTTGTGTTGGCCTTTTTAATGGTATAATAATCTTTTATAGTAGTTAGGTACAAACTATTTCCAGAGAAATCATAAAAATAATCAAATTAATATTTTGCTTTTAAATGTTATTTTCAACAAATGACCGAAAACCTTATTTATTGTACTAACATATAGTTATGTCACTACACTTCTATTCCGTTGGTCAATAATAATTATAAAAATCAAATTTGTGCCTACGAATAATATAATATATCTATTATTAATAGTTTACTATATAAATTTAATTTAACAGCCATGATTTACCTAGTTTAGATTTAAATTATAAGTCCAAATCGGCTAATGATTATCAAACTTTTTTTTTTTTTTTTTAAATCAAAAATCAATCCATAAAACAAAACCAAAAATTTTAATTTATTTTAAATTTATTATTATTATGATAATAATTCTAGTAAAAAGTGTTTTGAAAAAAAATAATTTTACCACACTTTTGATTATCAAATTTAAAACAGCAGTAATGAGAAAAACTAAAAAATTACTATATCTACAAAACAATTTAGGTAGATTATGAGTAAATTTAATATTACAATAATTCAGTAACTGTAATTAACTACTTAGTTTTATCAAATTATAATTATATATGATGAATAATAATAAAGAAACCTCGATATGATTACAATTTTATCCATACAGCAATTTGAACAAAAGTATACATTTGAATTTTAATAAATCATAAGTCACCAAGTCAAAATGATTAAAATAATCTACATCCACCTGGATTAATTAGTTTTTCCTCTATAACTTAATTAAATTATATAAAATAATCCATAAAAAAAAAAAAAAAAAATGATTATAATATTTTTGACCATTTCACAAATTCTATACTCGTAAAATCGATATTAAAACATCGTGAGACACATTCTAACATTTAGTTTTAGCATTGATTATAAGATATAGCCTATTCTATAACCAATGGTTTAAGTTATAATTTAGAATTGATACGCAAAAAAAAACGTCATCAACTCATCAAGCACCATTCTAAAAAATCAAATGATTTTTTTTTACATAACCATTATGTGCCACAACTTAATGAAGGATTTAAAAAGCTAAGAATATTAATATAAATTGATTGAAGTTAAGCACCTTCGTAAAAAAAGAACAAAGATCGCTCATTTAAGCTAAATGTCCCACAATATAACGATCTTTGATGTTCCTCAGAGGAGGAGACTTTTATCCAATTCACACTTTAGACTGTCTTCTATACCATCGTACTTTAAATTAAAAACAACTTTTAAACTTCAAAAATGCCGAATAAAAATAACTTTTTAATTACGTATATCGCCAAGTCAAATTAATTGTTTTATCTACATAAATATTTATTTATTTTTCATGAGTAATATCATTAGTCTTATTATTTTAATTTAATGTGGTAAAGAAAAATATACTACACCTGAACTTAAGTTTTCCATGTCGAGATCCATTCAAGTTATATAATTATAATCATTTTATTGTTTATACTACACTACTTGCAAACTTAGAAAAGTTAAACCATTTTATTTCGTCAATCAGATAAGACTTATTACTCCATACTCGTTGGAGATAATTGTTTATATTTATACCTTTGTTTATTTCGAATGTCAATATCGCAAAAACCTACAGTACAAATTGCAATGTTAACAACATTTATAACGAGTTATTAAGAATAAATTACAATCATAAAAAACAAAAAGTAAAATATTCAGTGGTTGGTTATTTGAGTTACCTATAATATGTGTGTGTATACGATATTTATAAATATCTAAGGTTAGTACAAAAGTCATGTTATATGATATTAACAATCAAGCTATGCTCCTATAATATACCACGAACAAGTCCGATTTAAGGGGAGGAACAGACTCACAAAACTTGAGATTCCTTTTAGAGATCTTTAATTTTTCCCCGTATATTTAACAGTTTGTATTATTGTTATTAACATTATTACTTATTAAATATTTTTTATAAAAAAAAAAAAGATATATAACTTTTAATTTTTGATGTGAATAAAA